TCTGCATTGGATCTGGAGTCTCCTCGAGTCCCTTCCCTGCTGGGTGGATGGGATGCCCGGGAGGAGAATTTGGGTGGGATTGGAGGGGGTGTGGCCTTGTGTGATTGGGCACTGGGTGACCAGAAGGTGCCCGAGGGGACATTTCAGCCAGGAGGGAGGGTGGACACTGGATTCCAGTTGATGAGGCAAAACATTGTCCTGCTGGAAAACACTTCTGTGGAACTCAACACACACCCACCCAGTGCTGTGACAGAACTGTGGAATTATGGGATGATTTGGGTTGGAAGTGACCTTAAAACTCATCTCATTTCAGTCCCTGCCATGGGCAGGTGTTGGGGTTAAGAAAAAGCATTATGGAATAAGCTCCTCCACCTCTGTTAGATCCTCTTTATCTTCGGTCACTTTAGCCCAGTGGCCAGCAATCTGGAAAGGATTAGCCCTTCAGGTCATGTATGATTGACRAGTGATAGCCCCATGCGTGAAGCTCTGATTGGTTAACAGAGCACGTGGACACCACATGACCAGAGATATGATTGGGTGGAGGGGTTCATGGGCGGCGGCTCTGCTAGGCAAACACCCAATCCCTGCTAAGCCCAGGAAAGTTTAGAACCTAAAAAGGCGCAGCTTTTTGAGAATAAAGGATTTCTATGAACCACCTAGAAGGGAGTCCGTGCTCTGTTTCCCCATTGTTACCAATGGCGCAGCTTTTTGAGAATAAAGGATTTCTTTGAACCACCTAGAAGGGAGTCCGTGCTCTGTTTCCCCATGGTTACAAATGGTGCCCAGTGTGAGGMATTTCAGGCAGGAAAGCRAAGGAACTGTCATGGTAACAAGCTCTACTGAACCAGGGTTTGGTTAATGGAGGAGCAGCGCGGAAAAGGAGCTCAAATGGATGCCCAGCGCCTGTGGGGTGAAGATACGGGAGGAAATACAGCCCTGGAATTGAACAGAGGTGAAGGATCTYATYCCATGAGGCTTTTYCTTAACCCCAACAGGCAGGGACACCTTCCACTGTCCCAGGGTGCTCCCAGCCCYRTCCAGCCTGGCCTTGGACACTGCCAGGGATCCAGSGGYAGCCACARCTGCTCTGGGCACCCTGTGCCAGGGCCTCAYCATCCTCACAGKGAAMAATTCCTTTYCAACATCCAATCCCTGTCAYTCTGAACCCATTCCCCCCCTGTTCTGTCACACCCGTTCTTGATGAAAAGTCTCTGCCWYRTCCTGGGAACTGCCCCCAGGGCTCGAAGGGAGGAGGAGCAGCATCTCATCACCCACCAGAGCTGTCCTGTGGTCAGAAGGGTTCACTGAGGTGGGGTCATTTCACCGTGTCCCACAGGAACAGCAGTCTGGAGCTGACCTGCATGGATCCCACTCCGGTATTTTGCAGATTGTTTTGGGGGATGTCACAATCCGTGATCCTTTGGTCCGTCCAACCCAACCCCACTATCTCCACTCTGGAGATACCAATTGTCCCACCAGCTCTGGTCTCTGTCCCTCCTTCCCACGCAGGCAATGCTTTGTGGCCACTGCTCTCATATTTCATGGAGACCAGGGGCACCTTCTGTTCCCTGCTCCTCCAACTGTCCTTGCAAACGCTCCTGACCTGGGCAGGGCGTCCTGTGGAATTCCTGACGAGGATTTGGCCACAGGGCAGCGCTCAGAATGGCGAAGCAGAAGTTGCGGAACAGCCATGGGTAGGAAGAAGGTTGTGTGACAATTGTCCAGAATGTCCTARGTCACAGCGATGCCTCCAAGCCAGGGATTGTTGACTCAGCCAAGAGTGCTGGGAGGGGAAACTTCATTCTGAGCCACTCTGAGTCTGGTGCTCCAGGGGAGCTGGGATGAGGGAGACAGGGAAGAGGCAAAAGAGGCAGCAAATTTCTGATGAGATCAAAGCCTGATGCCAAAGCCAGAGTCCAAAACCTGAGAGCAGTGGTGTCCGGGCTGGAGAGGCGATGCCCCGTTCAGGGTGAGTGGACAGAGCAGTGGAGTGACCGAAGGACTGAGCTGACCCTCACAGGAGTGGCCAGGCTGGAGCCCCAGGGCTCAGAGGAGCCCGGCCCCATCATCAGCAAAGCCTTTAAAGCCGTGCCCTGGAGGGCAGGGCTGGGATCCTTTGGGATGTCGGACACTCCCCAGCCCCGGCTGCATCACCCGGCCCTGCTGCTGACGGGCACTGCCCCCGGGCACATTTTGGCCTCTAATCCCATCACTTGAAAGGAGCCTGGGAGGCTGACGGGGCACGTCCTGCACAGGGAAATGAAATGGAAAAGCAGCAGCGTTGCAGTGGCCCCATTTCTGTAATTGGGATGTTTTTCATGCGGGCTGAGCTGGGCAAACACGTTCCATGTGCAGAGGGTGCCCGCGGGCCCGGGGCGGTGTGGGACGGTATAAAAGGCACTGCAGGGGCAGGAGCCCTCATCCACTTCTCTGCCTCCTCCTCCTCGCTGAGAC